GAATCCATAAATTGTAAAAATAAAAGTAGATAAATAAATGTTATAGCATATAAAGTTTTTTAATAAAAAAAAAGAAAAAGTTCTATATGTTGTATCGAACAATGTATAAATAAATGAATAATTATAAATAAAAAAATGTTAATTTATAATAAATTTATCTATTTAGAATGTTATCAGTAATAATTTATATATATATATATATATGTCGTCGTAGAGTTCATTTCCTAAGCTATAGTTACAGGGCCAAGGTTAGAGATATACTGCCGACTTATCTTGTTTCCTATTTGTTTTTGTAAATTGTTTTTGTTTTTGTTTTTGTCGTTATTTTTATCATTATTGCTGTTTTTTATTTTGTTGTTGTTGTTATTACTGTTATTCATTAAATGTGAAAAAATTGATTAAAAAATTATATTATTTTGATATCTGAGTATAGAACAAATAAATAAAATATATAATAAAAATAATTCAAAGTTCTCTCCTGAAACGATCTATTTAACTTTTTTTAATTAAGGCATTGACATAGACATTTTTAAGCTTTTCTAACCTGATTCTTAACATAACTTTTCCTTTAGCTTTATTCTCTCTCTATCTTAATTACTATTATTCATATTCATCATAGTTTTTTTAGTGTTAGTTATTAGTGAAGTGAATATAATGCCCATGCACTCAGACCTAAGTTTTATCACCGTAGTATTATTACATTATACCTATCATTGTATAAGGGTGTACTATCAAGTCACTCCCCGTGAATGAACAAAGAGTTCTATCTTTCTGGCGAAATTAAGTATCTCTCTGGGTCTTAGATTTTTTATATCTTCTTTTTCAGGAAAATATTTACTTAAGTAGTTTGATCTTAATGTGGACAAGGCTTCACATTCACACATTATGTGAAATGAGTCTTCCTCTTCTACTCCACACTTCCTACACAATGATGATTCCGAGACACCCATTGCATAAAGATGTTTAAAGAAATGACCATGTCCTGTCAGTAGACCAGTCAAAGTGCTTATTTGATATCTAGTTATAATATTAAGATCACCCAGCAGTAGACCGGGGTTCTTGATAAACATTTTAGATTGTCTAGGTACTACAAAGTACTTGCAGATTTTACTGCGTTGTTCTCTGCACCAACTCTTGGGTAGCGCTTTGAGCGATTGCTCAGTGAGTACTACCACTGATTCTGGCCCAACACAGGTGTTCTCTGCCCCTTTTTTAGCTAGAAAGTCAGCTTTTTCAATTTCAGTGCACTGTTGTGTACTATTACCCAAGCCAGTGTAACTTTGTTGAACCTCAAAAATGATTTTTAAGTTCCCCTGCATTCGAAGACAATATTTGAATTCACCTAATCGTTACAAAGTGTTTTCAGAGCCCCTTGACTATTACTTCAGATGTTTATCTTTCTTTTCTTGTATACCAGCAGGTTCTGAACCCCAATCATTATCACCATTACCTCTGCTTGGAAAACAGAGGATGATGTGCCCATTGACATGCTGACATTTATTCGAGGTTTTAGACCCCAAATGCCAACACCTACCTTTCCTGATTTTTTGGATCCATCTGTATATATTACAAATCCTCCTTTCTCAATCAGTTGGATAATATTCCATTCTCTACGTGTAATGATTTCCACTTTGTAAGGAATGTTATTCTTAAGAACCGTTTTGATATAATTCAAGTGGTATTCCAAAAAGCCCTGGTAATTTATTTTACCCCAAAAAGGGGTCTATATAATGTATTTAGAAAAGAAATTTGTATTGATACATACATTTTTCAAAAAGTAATAGCAAGTTTAAAATATAAAATCGAAAATTTTAAGACAAAAATAGCATATTTTTAACTACGACAGCTATTTTCAAGTAGAAGCTATTTTGAACCCCCCTTATAAGTAGGTAAAGGATCAGAATTTAAAAAATATCAAATAAAAAGAATTTACTTAAGGTTCTATTTAAAAAAATTATTTTGATTTTGTAATTATTGAAAAAGTTATGGTAGTTTTAAGAAAAAAATTGACTTAACTAATTATAAAGAACGTAATTTTTGGGAGTATATACAGTAAAAGCTGAGAAAAAGGAAGACAGATACATAAAAAGATTCATCATAGTNAGAAAAAGGAAGACAGATACATAAAAAGATTCATCATAGTAAAATTAATAACCTTCACAATTTCACATCTATGATGAAAACTTAAGTTAATACTATTTTAGAGGAAATCGAGGAACAAATATTTTTTTTAGGAATTATAAAATATAGTATATTATTAAATAAAAATTGGTCAACCTAAACGAAATATTAAACCTGCCTAAACATATAGAAATTTCATACGCACTTGTGAAAAGACATTTCCACAGACATTAATATTTAAGATACTTTGGTAAAGTTGATCATAGATAAGGATGAGTTGAATGAGTGATTACATAAGAACTAATCCAGAAAGGGTTTTTCTAATTCAAATAATAAGCTAACAGCCTGAATAAATTATATGAGTTTCTGGTCCACTAATGACATTATTATGATAAGAGATAAATTATTTAGAAGTGGATCATGTGAAATTAACTTTGAAACATACTATAGACATAGTATATTATATTATCTAGTGTAGTCAACTTGCTCATAGATGCACAGAATAAAGTTTTATTTAACTCCCTAAAAGTGTATTCAATATTTTTCGATAAATACATTTAAAATTATTAACCAATCTTTTATTAAGTTCTAAAATAAATCGTACGTTCATTAATTATCAAGTTAGCTGAAATAAAAAAATATACATTTTTTCAAAATAAAATTATCATAATTTGGTAGTTTTATTTTTAACAACAATCTTCTGAAAATCTTTAAATGTATAAATAAAACAAAAAATTTATTTAAGTCCCTATATAAATTTTAACATCAGGTAGGTATACAAAAATTTTTCCAACTCCTCCATTTTAGAAAAAAATAGGTACATTCTCTTGATGCAGAAAAAGTATTTTTGAAGAGAAAAATATCAATGATTTGTTCATAGGCCAAAATAATAATCAAACTATTATAATCATAAATATTTTTGTTATTTTAATCAATATTTTATAAATTTCATCAAAACTAAATTAGTCAAATTAACAGTCTTACATTAAAATTGTTATTACAAGGTATTAATGAGATGTTTGCTGTCGAACTTGAATAAATTTATTTTTAACAAGCGTATTAAATATATATATTAGGGTGGCCCTCAAAAATCGAATGTCTTTTTTTTCTTTACGCTACCCCTTAATTTTTTTTTAATGGTCAAAAAAATGAGCTGTGCAAAATTTGGGACCGATCCGTTAAGGTTAACCCGTGCCCCCGGGCCTATTAAGTTGAGTCGAAGAGTCAAATTTAAAAGAAATAACTGATCTATGTCTCATAACTTTTTTTTCTCTTAACTTAGAATAATAAAAGTAAAACTCAAGTAAAGGAAATTTTACAAGAAATTCAAAAATAATAACTTCAATGTTGTTTTCTCAATAAATAGCCCACAAAAACACTACATACAGTAAAAAACATGTAAAAGTCTTAAAATACGTTATAACTTTATATATTATAACTTATATATTTTACCTGTTTATTATTATAAATTAAATGATAAGTTTTAATCACAAATGTACAATACTTTTAGCGTCTTTTAAAGTATTACGAACTAATATTTATCTTATTGGTAATTATTCCCACGAAATAACTGGTAGTAAGTTACCATCAAATTTACAACTATTTAATCTGAACACTGATTTTTTGAAAATTGATCCATCATTTTGGAGTGCGAACAACAGTTACATAAATGCTTTAAATACTATAAGTAAATTACGAGT